ATTGGCAGAGGACCCCAGAACATCAGGGAGTGCTTATTTATACCTTTGCAAAGTTACAAGGCACAGGTTGCCTAACGACTAATAGCCCACAGTGTCCAGGTAGGATGTTTTTCTCAAGAGTGAGGTAGCTTGACTGCTTTAGGCAATGAGGCCTCATCCTGCCCTCCCACACAGGATCAATTTCCAGCATTAGCAGCTCCCAGCAGCACATGGGTCCATCCAGGAGAGAGGAGGTACAAGCTTCTGGGTGCTCCTTGACCCACTGGTGCTGTGTCCAAGCCATCCCATGGCAGGAGTGTACAGAGTACCCTGAGCATCTTCCCTTCGTAGCACAAGATCCAGGGGCTGACTACATGCTCCACCACATCTGTCCTAGGAGAGGATCATGCCTTGAGCTTCTAGCATAAGAAAGGAGCAAAGTACAGAGTATAGTTGCTGTTGACTACACAGCACTTTGACTCCATTGTGAATCAGGGACCATGGGATAGGGACAGGGCAGGGCTCAGTCCTGTGGCTTGGAGCAAGGTAGAACTTCGGGTTTTCTGTCTGTAGGGCCCACCATAGGTTAGCGTTACATAGGCTGTCAGGCAAGGCCTGAGACAGACCTCAGGTAAACGGAAACACCCATCTGGATGTTCCAGGCCTTAGCAGTCCCTTCCTAGGACCTGAGGTCTGGACAGCCTTCCTGCATACTCAATGTTCCGGTCATCCCAAACCGCTTCACATCTCAAAGACACCTATGTCACCACTCTGCCTTCACCTGGGCTCCTCTTGCACCTGCACAGCCTCTGAGTGGCCACTCTTGGCTGGCCCTGGCAAGCCTACTGCTTTTCCCTCATTGGCTGCTCCTGGGAGCCTGGCCCTGAAGCTTACATTGGACACATCTGTAGCCCTCACTGTCTACAAGGAGAACCTGCCCCTGCAGTGTGCTCGGGAGTGTAAAGTCACATGTCAGAAGTGAAGAGCAGGCCTGAGTCCGCACACAGCGGGGGTGTCGGAAAGCAGTGGAACTTTGAGTCAGTGGGAACCATAACCTAGTCACCCCTTGCAGAAGGCTGTTCTCTTTAATAGTTGCAAAAAGTTTTATAAATGCTCTTCTGGACAGTTTTAGCTACAGCTTATTAATAGCAAAAGCTCTCTGAGACTGAGAAGTGAGATGTGTAGGTGGAACCGTTCAGATGCTTTGGGTGCTAGAAACAAACCAGGCTCTAGGAGGCTTGGCAGTGAGGTATGCTCATGCAAGCCGAGGTTGGTAATCAGAGCAGGGCTCTGTGTTTATGGGGTGAAAAGACCTTTTGCCGAAGCTCCTGTAAGATCTTTTGACAGTGCCACAGCCGGGGTCCTGTCCCACAGAACCAACATCATGGCAGTGCTGGTTTGGGGCTCCCAGGTAGAAGGATGAGGGCACCTACAGTGTGTTTCCTCTCAGCCAGGAGGGATTTCCTGGTGACTGCCAAGAAATAAGAACCAGCTTGGAAAGGAAAATGGAAATGGATCTTCCTCAGGTCAGGCCCTTGACTTCTCAGTTGTGACCTTATCTTTCCTTTTAGAGGACGGGGATTGTCCTTGTTCGAGATGGGGAAGGTGAGGTGCACAGCACCTCAGAGAAGCTCAGTGGCAGAGGCAGAATTCAAGCTCAAGTCTTTGCTTTAAATATCTGGAGACTGGCTTCATACTTAATGGCAGGAGGTACTTCACCGTGACTGCTCGCAATGAAGGAAAATAATATGAGGGGCTGGCGAGATAGCTCAGCAGACTAAAGCACCTGCTTAGGCAAGCACAGGGACCACAGTTCGATCCCCGGCACCACATCCCGTGCCTGCCCCACCCCCAGAGCAGACTGAGCCGGCAACAGAATCCAGGCATAGTGTTGTACACCTGTAATCCCAGCACTGGGGAGGCTGAAAACAGGAGGATCACTATGAGTCCGAGCTATGTATTTAGACCCTGTAACAACCAAATACATAATATTTATGGGCGTTAGGTGGAAGTTGGAGTACAGAGTAGTGGTGGTACCCTGTGGACCATATAGTGGGATAGAAATAAAGGGCTTGGGGCCAGGGAGATGGCTTAGTGGAATAAGCGCTTCCCTGGCAAGCTCAAGGGCCTGAGTTCAATCCCTGGTTCCATAAAAAGAAAGAAAGGGCTTTATAGAAGTACTAAGAGTAAAACATAAGATAAATACTGGAATGGCAAATAAATGACCAGCACTTCTAACAGTTTGAGGATAGGATATCGCACAAAGTTCTAGTGTGTTGTGGACATGCATAATGACCATGACAGTTACTCGTGGCCAGGCGTCACTTGTGGGACTGAGATACAACTATTTCTTTGAAATCCACCCTGTAGACTCAGGTAGAATCATGACCCATAGGGTGGAAGAGAAGTTCGTTTGTAGAGTGTGCTGATGGAAATATTTCGTTGCTGAACACAAAATAATAAATGAAAGACTACTGGGCTGGTGAGATGGCTCAGTGGTCTAAAGCACCTACTTAGAACAAGCTTAGCAAAGCACAGGGACCGCGGTTCAATCCCCCAGCACCACATGCCAGCCAGCCCCGCCCCCTGGTGGGCTGAGCTGGACACACACATACATACGTAAATAAATTTTTAAAAAAAGAAAGACTACTATTGTAAAAAAAGAAAGAAAGAAAGAAAGAAAGAAAGAAAGGGCTTTATTGTGTGTGGGTAAACATAAGCAACTTCCTTTCACCTGAGCCTCTGTCCTTGTAGTGAGGCCATAATCTGATCTCCCTCTGGGGCCTGTTGTGAAGTTAGTGGAGGGCCCAGGTGGGAGTGGCTGTAGCCCATTGTGGCCACACCAGGTTTTTGGGCTTGGGGTTAGCTACCCAGAAATTGCTACCTTCCAATTGACAATTCACGTCACAGCCTTAGGACCTGCTGGGTGGTGGCAGTAAACCGTAAATTCTTCTTCTTCAGTAAACCTAAACTTGAGGTCAGCCACACCCCGGTCTTAACAGAAACTTCACAGCTGAGCGATGAGCACCTCCCTCTGTTGGCTCCACATGCTTCAAAGCCTCAAGATGCAGCTTTCCATCTGCCTTTGGGCAGGCACAGTGTGACTCAGGGTGCTGCCCCCACTTGCCAGTCCAAGGAGGACACACCCAGTGCTCTGCAGTAATCTGCTGGAGAGTTTAGCGCAGGGTCCACCTTGTCACACCTCAGATCTACCAGGTGCTGGCTCTCACAGATGACCACAAAATTAGTGTTCAGAAATAACAGGTATGGGGGCCGGGAAATGGCTCAGTAGAGTAAGTGCTTCCCTGGCAAGCGCAAGGGCCTGAGCTCAATCCCTGGTTCCACCAAAAAAAAAAACACGTACTGATTTCCCTTATGCTGTGGTTAGACATCTAGAATGAGCTTTACAGGGCTAAGCCAGGATAGGCGGCTCCAGGGGAGAGCCCATTTCCCAGCCTTTTCGCACTCCAAGAGCCCACCATGTTCCTTGGCTGGTGGCCCCTTCCTCACACTTCAGGCTGCTTCCGTCAGCACATAACATGGCTGATGTGGTCTGCCCCTGACGTTTTCTCTGCAGCCTTCAGCCAGCTTATGGTCCCCAGCCACCCAGTTCAGGGTCCCCCTGCCCTGCCAGTGAAATCTTAACAGCCAGTTTAGGAGAGCTTGTTTAATGAAGTCAGTGTGTCACACTCCTGTCCCACTGGCTTGTGCGTCCACTGCTTCCTTAGAGTTAATTCACGTACTGTAATTTGGTTTTTTTAGAATCCAAGCCCCATCAATTGTGTGTCTTTGCTGTAGAAAGAGTACATTTAGAAACTGCTGCAGCTGGGCAGGGAGAGGGCGCCTGGCCTGCCTGTGATTGCCTGGCCCTTTCTCCTCAGCTGTGCCTCATCTAACTGCTGCTGCTGTAGGGTGTAGGGTGGTGCCTGTCTTCAGTCTCTGAGCTAGCAAGGTTCGTGGATGGGCCCCCCGGAAGTCAGTGGCTCCAGCAGATCCACGCCTTGGGTTCTGCTGCTGGCTTCCCACCTGCTAGCTGGTGACCCTGGACAAATCATCGTAGCCTCTAAGCCCCTCTCTTCGTCTTTGCTGTGGGACAGGCCTCCTGCCTGAAGGAGCTCGTCAGAGCTGCCATCTGTCCAGGCGCCTCTGCAGGCCCATGTTGCATGGAGTGCCCCTATGCAGCGGTCCCTCGCCCTTTCCCCACCTTGCACACTCCACTTTTGCAGCCCCTAGGTGACTGCTGGGGACTCCTGCAGCTAGACATTACAGCAGGGGTGTGCTGATCCTTGCAGCTTCAGGGTGCTCTCTGTCTCCCACCCATCTTCTGTGATGGCTGAGAAGCTGCCAAGGGGAAGGTCCAAGTGTGTACTACCCGGCCTCCCCCACAGTTTGTGGGGAGGTTCTGGCTGCTGACCCACACCTGTTGATCCCTGAGCCAGTCACCATGGGCATGCAGTGCCCTGGCTGACCACTGGGCCTCATACCACCCTAGGTTAGGAAGGCAAAGGCTGTGGCATGCGTGCAGTCCATGGTGGTTTCCGGAGCTGGACTCAGGCCGTACAAGGTCAGAGTGGCACTCATGGTGGCACGAGCCAGGTCAGCTCCCTCTACACGCATGCCCCTTGCAGCAGGAGGGAACAGCCCTGTGGTGGTGTTTTGTCCTTTAGTCCTGCTCTCCAAGAGTGCCTCCTTTTGGACTCCTCAGGGCTGAGCTCAGGTCACGGTCTGTCTGCCTTCTCTGGCAGCAGGGCTCCCTGTGCTGACTGGATCTGCTCCGCCCAGGCACTCCCAGCTCTGAGTACCGCGCTCCCACTTGTGGATGTGTGCTTCTGGATCTTGCTTTGCTGGCTTAGCAGAGACTAGTGTAGGTTACACAGAGGCAAGAGGGAAGGCTTCTGTCTCTTCTAATTACCCAGTCCTGCCCCCCTCCAAGCCAGCATGTGCTATCATGCTAGTAAGGATGCCTTTCCAAAACTGCCATCTGATCATGTCACTTCCTGTGCTTTAAAAATCTCCCCAAGGTTGCAGACGCTGGCCGATTTGCTTTGGGAGCTGGAGTAGCTGTTGCCACCAGAGTCTGGAACCATGAGCGGGTTTAATTTTGGAAGCACTGGCACTTCCACAGGTGGATTCACATTTGGCACTGCAAAAGCAGCAACCACCACACCTTCAGTGGGGTTTTCTTTCTCCACTCCTGGCACTGGAGGGTTTACCTTCGGCACTCCCTCCCAGCCCGCTGTGAGTACTCCTTCGACCAGCCTCTTCTCACTCACCACCCAAGCTCCAGCCACTCAGACCCCAGGGTTCACCTTTGGATCAACTCCTGCTTCCACCGGAGCTGGCTTTTCATTAGGAATCAGTGCTCCAAAGCTAAGTTTGAGCAGCACTGCTGCCACCCCAGCCACAGCAAACCCCAGCGGCTTTGGGCTCGGTGGCAGCACCCTCACCAATGCCATGTCAAGCACTGTCACCTCTAGCCAGGCGACGCCATCCACTGGCTTTGTGTTTGGTTCCTCTAACACCACCACAGCTCCAGCCACTACATCCGTAGGGTTCTCGTTCACCAGCGGAAGCACATCCCAGGCTGGGACCTCTGGCTTCAGCATTGGCTCCCTGGGCAGTGCGACTCAGGCCCAGGCCCAGCCCACAGCACTGTCCGGATTACCCTTCACTGCATCCACGCCAGCAACCACTGCAGCAGGGGCCAGCCATCCAGCTGCCCCCACACCCGCCACCACCAGTGCAGGTCCCACCCTCTTCGCCTCGATAGCAGCTGCCCCCGCCTCGTCCACCAGTGGGCTCTCCCTCTGTGCTCCAGCAACCACCTCTGGGGCTTCTGGGGCCAGGACCCTGGGCTTCAGCCTGAAACCCCCCGGAGCAGCTTCTAGTACTTCCACAGCAACAGCTACAACTACGGCCACCACCACTACCACTGCCACCACCGGTTTTGCCTTAAATATAAAACCCCTGGTGCCAACTGCGATTTCAAGCAGTGCAGCAGCAGGTACGACCGCTCCGTCAGGCTCTGGCGCAGCTGCTGGAGTGGCTGCCTCTCCTGTGATGACCTACGCGCAGCTGGAGAGCCTGATCAATAAGTGGAGCCTGGAGCTGGAGGACCAGGAGCGCCACTTCCTGCAGCAGGCCACGCAGGTCAACGCCTGGGACCGCACGCTGATCGAGAATGGGGAGAAGATCACCAGCCTCCACCGAGAGGTGGAGAAGGAGAAGCTGGACCAGAAGAGGCTGGACCAGGAGCTCGACTTCATCCTGTCACAGCAGAAGGAGCTGGAAGACCTGCTAAGCCCTCTGGAGGAGTCGGTCAAGGAGCAGAGTGGGACCATCTACCTGCAGCACGCTGACGAGGAGCGGGAGAAGACCTACAAGCTGGCCGAGAACATCGACGCGCAGCTGAAGCACATGGCCCAGGACCTCAAGGACATCATCGAGCACCTGAACACATCTGGGGGCCCTGCTGACACCAGCGACCCACTGCAGCAGATCTGCAAGATCCTCAACGCACACATGGACTCGCTGCAGTGGATCGACCAGAATTCGGCCCTTCTGCAGAGGAAGGTGGAGGAGGTGACCAAAGTGTGCGAGGGCCACCGCAAGGAGCAGGAGCGCAGCTACAGGATCACGTTTGACTGAGCGCAGCCCCTTGGGGTTGTGGGCTCCGGGGCCTGGGGCTGTGTCTGATTTGGGCTGGCAATGAGACATTTGTTTCTTTCAAATGATTGTGCTGTTGAAAATGGTTCTGTGGTTTGACTTTTCCCATTAGCAAATAGCAAGTATTCTGTGCATCTTCTGGTCCGGGCAGTGGCCTGGTGGGGCTTTCTGTTTTGTCTGTGGAGCGCTGGCCCCATATCACCTACTACAACCACCCACCTCATCAAATGATAGAGAAATGCTGCTCCACCTAAGCAGTCTCCCCAGCCAGAGCTGGCTGGGCAGCCCCTCTGTCCAACACATACGTAGCCATAGCCCAGTGGAAAATGACTGAGGTTAAGGACTGTGCTGGCAGCTGGCTGCCTAGGTGTACAAGAAGTGTCCTGAAAATTAGCCACGAGACAAGCACATTGTGACCAGGACACAGTGGGATAGAAGATTCCAGAGAAGGAGACAGTCAGTTGAGGCCTTACAGGGATGGAGGAAGAGCAGAGGACGTGCCAGCTTGTCCTCAGGGCTCACCTGGTGTCCCCTCCAGGAAGCTGCCTGAACTGTGCACAGCTGCTGTAGCAGGTGACCGCCTGGATCTGTGGAGCATTCTGAGCTGGCACCTCTCGTGGTGAGACTTGCTGTGCCACACTGTGCCCACCATGCTTGTCTAGCTCACCGTTAGGTTGTGAGCTCCTACAGGCAGAGGCTACTGGGTTCCCCTGTGTGTGCCCAGTGCAATCCTGGTCACATTTACTCAGTGACCAAACATTGCAGATGAAACCCAGCATCATTCTAGTCCACAAAAATGGCTACTGAAATGGGCTTAGTTGCCAGAGATCAGCTCGGTTCTGAACCTCCCTATGCCAAAGTTAACTTTGGCTCAGTAAAATATGGGGTGGCTGAGCCTGGGCTCTATCCTGGGGGGTCTTTAGTGTTTGTTTTTATACTTTGCTGCATTCTCTCAAATGCCTATAATTCTGTTGCTTTCCTAAATAAAATCAGTGTGTAAAACAAAACCTGCTGATTGGATAAATGTTGGTAGAAGCTGCTGAAGAGAGCAGGTTCCAGAAGACGGTGGGTGAGCTGCTGTTCCTCTGAAAGGCAGCCACCTGCAGAACCAGCTCCACTGTGGAGGTGGAGCCACCCTCGGGTGAGAGGGCCCACTAGTGTCTCCTCAGGGTCATAGTGGTGGCCCTTTTCCTGTAGAACCCTGCCTCAGACCAACCATGTTCCTGAGACGCAGGAAGGGTTATGACCTCTCCTTGGCTTGGCAGCCTTCCTTATTGTCAGTTGGGCTAGCTGAGGGCTCTAGCAATGCTTTGACAGTGGGGAGCAGGTAAAACTAGGGCATAGGCTGCATGGGAGGGCTGAATTGGGGGCACTGTGCCCAAGCCCCTGCCCCACACCCACCCTCTCCCACAGTCCTGTGTGATGCCAAGCACTCAGTTCTCACTCCCGGAGCTGGGAGTCTGGCCCACTCCTTCAGCTGGTCCCACTAAGATAGGCCACACATTGTGAGGTTGTACCCAGTTTCCAGAATTTCCTTGGACTAACATGGGTGGGCTCTGAAGGATATCCTTGCTGAAGCCATCAGACTTGGGCGGAAATAAACAGGGGAACCCAAACGCAGCTCCCTGAACGCTCCCGACACCCTAGTCTTTTTGTGTAACCCATGGGCCTTGGCCCTGATCTGTCCCCGCCTCCCAAAAGGAGGCCTTTGCATTCCCATGGAAAACAAACAGCAGCTGAAATTTGACCTGGTCATGCCTGTTTCTGAGCACCTATTTCATACCAGACCCTGATCTGCCATTGGAGTTAGAAAATGGAATCATTTTTCTGAGCCCACAAGGTCATTACTGCCAGGAGCTGTGCATAAGAAGAGCCTAAGTGCATTTCTAATGTGTGTGTATATATATTTATTCCTACTTGCATTTTAAATGAGTAAAACTTAATTGCTTCCTTACAGTTTTAGGTTTTGGCCAGTTTCTTTGGTGTTGGGTATTGAGGGGGGACTTCTGCAAGCTGAGTGCACTGTCCACCCCTGAGCTCCAGCCCAGCAAGCTGGTAGTTACAAAAACAGATGTGGATGTGGAGGCGCACACACCTGTAATCTCAGCACCCAGGAGTTGAGCCAAGAAAATCTCTTAAATTCAAGGCCAGCATGAACTGCATAGCAAAATCCTGTCTCATAAATAAACTGAAATTGTTATACTTTCCTCTCACACCCCTGGGTACTTTGGGAACCTCACTTTGAAGAACATGTGACTAGAATTAAGTCCAGACAGAGGCTATGCGGGTGCTCTGGACAGACATCTCGGAGTCAGCAGATTGCAAGAGGATTGCTGGCCTTACAATTGCACTTTCTCTTTCCAGGAAGAGGACAGGCAGATGCAGCTCCTTGCCAGTCCAGACACTTGGCTTCCACCAAGTTCCTCTTCATTAGCTAATATGAAGACCAGTGTGACTAAATTTGGAATCGGAGGCTTTTAAAGGTGACTCCTCACTAAGCTCTTACTGTGTCTCCTTCCCTTGTTTAGGAATAAGAGTGCCAAGTAGATACGTGGCTATACTATACCTTGCTTTTAATCTCCAACTCCAATGACTCGCAGCCCAGCCCTTCCCTAGATGAGCCTGACAGGAACACCAGTTGTTTGGCACCTAAAGGATTGGATTTCTTTTTGGTTTCTGTGGTACTTGTGTAGCCCTGAGCTACCTCTTCAGCTTTTGTTTTTATTTTGTTTTAGAGGCAGGGTCTTGATAAATCTTATAAATTTTACAGGTTGGGCTCAAATTTCTGATTCTCTTGCCTCAACCTAGAGAACTGAGATTACTACAGGCAGAAAGGTCAGATTTCTCAAACTGCTCGTGGTTTTCAGAGCAAGAGAACAGCCTCATCCCCTGTGACAGGCCGGCGTGGTTCCAGCAGTGCTGGGCGTCAGCACTGGTCCTCAGGTGTGGTTTCCAGGACTTCTGGCTATCTGTGCAAGGTTACTGGGCATGATTTGAGAAGAGGCACTGAAACTATATTCACCTCCTGAAAAGGCCTGTATACTAGTGTAAAATGTAGTTAGATAGGAAGTCAGGAGTTTTAAATCTTTTTTTTTTTTAGCTGAGTACTCAATGTTTTTTTTTTAATTGAGAAATAAATATGAATGAGACAGTTTCACAGCTGATTAATAGGACAGTTTTGATAATCAATACAATGTACAATGTTATCTTTTCAGTGGTTATCCATAGTACAAGAAGCAGACAGGATATTCAAGTTTTAAATCTTTGTTCATTTATTTATTTATTTTGCAGAACTGGGGATTGAACTCAGGCCCTTGCACTTGGCAGGCAAGTGCTTATTCTACTGAGCCATCTCCCCAGCCCCCTATCTTTATTTTTAGTAAAATTAATTATAAATATAATTTTAAGAATGAATGACTTAGGGCCAGAGATATAGCTCAGAAGCACAGTGCCTGCCTGGCAAGTGCACAAGTTTGATTCCTGGTTCCAAAAAAAAATGGCTTACAAACCCAGAGGCACAGGCCTGTAATCCCAGCACTCAGGAGGTTGAAGCAGGTGGTTCATTGTGAATTTGAGACCAACCTAGACTAGAGTGAATTGAAAGCCTGAGCTACAAAGTGACACCCTGTATCAAAAAGACAAAATGAGCAACAAAAAACAAAACAAAACAGGGCTGGGGAGATAGCTTGGCAGTCTAAGCACCTGACTGGCAAACTGTAAGGTCCCAAGTTCAATCCCCAGTGTTCTGTGCCAGTCCCAAAACCAGGTGTGGTGGTACAAGCCTATAATCCCAGCGCTGGAGAGGCTGAGACGGCGGTCAGTATGAGTCCAAGCTATGTAGTGAGACTGTGTATCAGAAGAATAAAAAAACATTTATGAGGGGTCAGGGAGATAGCTCAGTGGCCTAAGTGCCTACCTGGCAAGTGCAAGGTCCCAAGTTCGATTCCTGGTAATGCAAAAAAACTGGAAAGAAACTGGTATAAGCCTGTACCAGCATTCCATTCCCAAGTTTTCAGTGAACCCCAAAGTTGTGCTTTAAAACTGTTCTCAAGCCAGGTGTGATGGTACACACCTGTTATCCCAGTATCCCAGCACTCTGGAAGACTGAAGCAAGAAGGAGGATTAAAGTTCAAGCCCAGCCTGGGAAAGGTAGCAACTTGAGATCTTGTCTCACAAAACAGGGCTGGACATGTAGGTCAGTGATAGAGTGCTTGCCTAGCATGTGTGAGGCCCTGGGTTTACCACCCTGAACACACCCGATCTCATCTCTTCAGAACAACATAAAGGGCCATGGATGTAGCTCAGTGCAAAGGCCTTCCGTGCATCTTCACGACTGAAATAAGTGGCCCTCCAGCTCTGAGGGCAGCAGGATGCCTTGGGAGTGAGATCCCAGGCCTGTGGTGTCGCCTGACCCCTGGGCACTGGGCCCCCAGACCCTGTGCAGTTCACCCCCACGAGCACAGGGCCTTCTCCAGGTCAAGATCCAGACTGTTCCCAGCCTTGCTCACCTGGCACCTGCCCGTCCCATAGGACTCCTGAGTTATAGAGACCGAACTCCAAAGCCACGAAACTGAAGGTGATAGCGTCATGTGCGGTATGGGCTTTCACTTGATTTTTTTTTTTTTTTTTTTTTTCCTTTTTTTGGTGGCTGCAGGGTCTTACTATATAGTCCAGCCTGACCTTGAACTCCCTACTAGCCTAGGCTGGCTTTGAACTTCCAGGGATCCACCTGCCTCAGCCTCCCCAGTGCTGGGATTACAGCCATGTACCACCTGGCCTCTCTCATTTGAATCTTAATTTTTTTTTTAATGTGGGGGGGGCAGCTCAACCCACCAGGGGGTGGGGCGGGCTGGCATGTGGTGCTGGGGGATTGAACCGCAGTCTCTGTGCTTTGCCAAGCTTGTTCCAAGTAGGTGCTTTAGACCACTGAGCCATCTCACCAGCCCCTCATTTGAATCTTGAACCAGATATTTTATTTTACATTTTGTGTGTGTGTGTGTGTGTGTGTGTGTGTGTGTGTGTGTGTGTGTGGCCAGCTCAGCCCACCAGGGGGCGCGGCTGGCTGGCATGTGGTGCTGGAGGATTGAACCGCAGTCCCTGTGCTTTGCCAAGCTTGTTCCAAGTAGGTGCTTTAGACCACTGAGCCATCTCTCCAGCCCTTGAACCAGATAAACTGAGAAACACAATCTGGAAAATGTAAACACTGATTTACAGGTAACTAAGGAGTTAATAACATTTTTAAATGTGATAGTGCCGAGGAGATAGCTGAGCGGCATAAGCATCTGCCTGACAAGCACAAGGTCCTGCGTGCGATCCCTGGCACCATAAAATGTGATAGTGAGCCAGGCATGGTAGACACACCTGTAACCCCAGCAGGTTGGGAGGCTGAGGCAGGAGGCTCGCCTTGAGTTCGAGGGCAATGTGGGATATGTAGTGAGACCCTGCCTCAAACAAATGGATGAGTAAAATGTGACAGTGATGCTGTAGTTTTATTTTCTTTGGTTTTGAGCTAATCTGTAGAGCCTAGGCTGACGCTGAACTCGTGACCCTCCTGCTTAGCCTCAAATACTGGGATTACAACTGCACCACCTCATAGCCTTGCCATTTATTTATTTTTAATTTGGGTACGCTCCTTTCAAGCAGAGGTTGCCATGGCCCAACCTCCTGTTTTCGTGGGTAAAATGTTAGAACACAGCCCTGCCCCCCATTTGTGTATTGCATATGGTTGTGTCCAGACCAAAGCCATATGGTTGTAAATCAATCCCCATATATTTATTGAAAAGATCTGCTCATTGCTATTTTAGAGAAATACCCCAAAATATTTACCTACAAAGCAGCACAGTATCTGGGGTTTCCTTCCACTTACCCCAGTGGCAGCGAGGCCATGGATACACGTGGGCCCATCCTTCCATGTCTGTGTCCCTGCTATGTTAGGCAGCTTCCATAGTGTGTGCTTTGGAGAAGGGAGGGCCAGCCCTTGGAAGCCTCCCAACCACTCTGACCTCACACCAGGACCTCACGCAGCTGGCCAAGGGCAGCAGGACAAAGCTACTGTCGCTCATCCCGGTTCTGCATGGGCCCGATGATGACTCCTGTCCTGGGCTGACCAGAAAGGCCATGGGCACTGAGAGAGCCCCCCAGAGCCAGCCATGCAGTGAGTGACCCCATCTGGAGCCTGGGGGTGTTCTGGAAATGGGAAGGAGGGCTCTGAGGAAGGGGATCCCCACTTTGCAAGTCAGAACAAAGACCAGGCCTGGGCCCCTGCCGTCTGCCCATGTCCCTGGGCAGTCGCCGAGCCTCTGTGACTTCATGCTGGCCCCTAAGGTCTCCAGATCGATTCAGGAAAGGAGTGCAGCTGCCAGCAGTGTGGCTGTCCGTGTCCCCATCCCAGCCGGGGCTGAGGGGCTGTTAACTCTGTGTGAACCAAAAGAGAAGTTAGGAGGGGTTCATTGGAAGCAGAAGAGCTAGATTTCAAGGCAGGAGGTAGCTGCATGTCCTCTTGATCTGGAGCGACTTACGGAGCACTGAGTTGCTCAACTGTCTAGTGGCCACCTGTGACAAGTGGCTCTGGATTTAAAATGTCCAGTTGGAACTCAAGCTCTCTAACCTAGATACACAGCATACAGACATTAAAAGAAATGGGTTTTTAAGGGAAAAAAACAGTTCCTTGCATTTTAAGTTCTTCAGAACTGAGGAACTTCTAGGGGGAGTTTTACTCTGTATTGGCAGAGGAAGTTAATTCTGGCCAAGAGCCCTAGCCCACTGTTTAATTCTCATGTTGTGGCTGATCCACAGCTCTGTGTCAGGCCTCTCCCTAGCCAGCTGCCTTCCTCACACGCCATTAATGAGACTACCAGGTCTCTGGCTGCTGTGTATGAGTCCTAAATCCCCATGGGAACTGCCATTGTGGTCACAAAAGCAAAACCAAATTGGGCAGGGTTTCCCCCTGCTAAAGACCATTTCTACCTACAAGGATTAAACAATTCCTAGAAATCCAATAAAACTAGGATTTCCCAGAGCCAACTGAAACAAAGGGATGCTTCCCCCTTCCACCCCATCTCCTGCCCTGTCCCCTGACCTCAGCCATCACCCGGGCAGCCCGTGCTGTCTCCTCCCAGCATCAGAGGCGTCCAGCCTAATCCTGCTGCTCTTTGTCTCCTCCCACGCTCACCTCACCTGGCACTGTCCCCAGCACCCCCAGGAAAGTTCTGTCCTTTCCAGCAGACGGTTGTGCAACATGCCTGGCCCCTCAATGCTTACCTTTGAGTTGGTGAGGTGCTGGGGTTCAGCTTCCAACTAACATTGGTTTTGCTTTGCCCTGTGTTGAGTACTGGGGCTTGAACTCACAATGAGCTACATCTTAACCCAGCCCCAGCCCTTTGGGTCTTTTTAACAGTCTTGCTGAATTCCTCTGGCTGGCTCAACCTTTCGATCCCCCTCCCTCAGTCTCCTAGAGTGCTGGGGTTAGCTGTGCACCGCCACATCCAGCTGGGATTTTCTTTTTTCCTTTTTTATTTTTGGAGACAGGGTTTTGCTGTGTAGTTCCAGCTGATCTTAAACCCCTGTGAGACCCAGGCATGCACCACCACGTCCACTTGTGCTATTTTTCTCTCACTTGGAAGTGCTACAGGCTGAATGAAGACTACATGAGTCCTGCGCACCTGAACACGCACATCCCATGTAGGGTCCGCAGCAATGCAGCCTCTAGCGTTCCTGCAGCTGGCTGTCCCTGCTCTGTGCCCTGCTCCCCATGGCTGTGCTGCACTCAGGGCTGCTGAGGGATGACCCCCCCAACACCCAAGTGGTACTTGGAGATGTCTGATGTTCTCATGCACTCATGGGGCACCCCACAGTGTACAAGGCAGCACCTCGTAGCATGCCTGGCCAGGCCTGGGCCCTGGTCCTGGGTCTGCGCTTGGCCTCGACAGCAGAGCAGTTGGGAGCACTGGCTCAGCCACAGCCACGCTAGCTGGGGCCTCACCTGGGCTCCAGTCTTCCCCCACTGTAAACGGGGACAGCAAAGCTCACCTTGGCAGAATTCTCGGGTTAAGTGCAGTACGATCATGTCATCAGTAGTGCAGGGGGCACTTGTGTGCTGGGACCCACTCTTGACCATGCTGTCCAGGAACCTGCTCCTATTTCTGCTCTGCAGAGCCCAGCAGCAAGGGGCCCAGGCCAAGGGGCCATTCGCCCACCCTGCAGATGTCCAAGCGGGCCCCAAAAACCTTAAGAGCCCATGGTGCCAGGCATGGTGGTGCACACTCCAGCCAGGGACCAAGCAAGGACCTGGGGCAAGGCCTTCCCCTGTGAGCTGTAGGGTCCTTCTCACCACTGTTCCGTCAAATGTGACCCTGTGAGTGCTGGTCACAGTGGTGGTCGAAAAGCCCTGAGCACAGAGCAGCCAAAGGACAGCTGGAGACCAGAACGCTCCTGGTCCTTTGTCCCTGGAGCTGTATTTGTAGACTTCAGCTCTTTCCCTCAGCAGTCAGTCGAGGGGCTCTGTCCAGCTGCCTAGCTCTGCTGTTTCTTGGCTGCCCCCCCCCATGGCCAGATGGTGCCTCTGACTCACTCACTCATGTGCACCCCACTCCTCCCCCAAACCACATCCTTTTTGATGGAGTGTGGAGTTTCCCAGCTTGCTCTTTTTTGACATGGCCCCCACCCTGTTGCAGAGAACCCCATCCCTCTGTACCCCAAGAAGCACCTCCACTGGCTTCAGGGCTCAAGCGAGACCCCTGCTGCCAGGTCAGCTCTGGTGCGAGGTTCCTTGGAGTTGTCATCTGGTTTGCCCTGCCCTGCACCGAGCCCACAGTAGTGTGGACCAGAATGCTTGTAGGTCTTACCTGGCTTCACTCCATCTGCCCTGTGGCATTGGCCCCCAACTCCAGAAGTGGACAGGAGCCACCATGAGGGGTCACCTGGTTGGCCTGCAGTCCCTGGCTGGCAGGTGCCAGGCTGGGAGCCTTCACCCATGATGCTGCCCACCACACAGAACAGAGTGTTCTACTTGGCACACGGGGAGGGGAGTCATAGGGGCCCTGCAGAGCCAAGGAGCACCTGACGGGGACTCAGGAGAAAGCCTGGCCCAGTGCCAGGCAGCCCTAGCCCAGACCTTGCCCCCCACCCACCACCCCAAGAGTCCAGGAGGCAAGGAGACTGCAGGATAGGTAGGAACGGAGACCCCACCGCAGGGCTGGGACAGGCCCACGGGCAGTCCCCACCCTCAGCCCCAGTACCTTGCGATTTATTTCTGGCTTCCCAACCACCCCAAACTATTTGGGGCAAGAGGAAGAGAACAGAATAAGTTACTTCCTCCTGACCCCTTTATATGCCACCATCACACCCGCCAGCTTCTGCCTATGAGACTCCAGGAAAGCAGCCCCCCACCCCCAGCTTGCCCAGGAGGGCGGGGCCCCTGTTTAAAGAGGGACAGAAGCACGCAGAGCTAGAAGTAGCGCAACACGCCTCACGGAGGCTGGCTGCAGGACCTGCGGGACCAGGCCTGACTGCCAGCAGGGAGAAGAGGGGACAGCAAGACAGGGAAGTGGTGAGGAAAGGTGAAGAGGAGAGGCAGAGGGGACAGAGGCAGGGACAAGAAAGCAGAGCTGACGGGGCCAGGGAACACACGTACCGAGAGGTGGCTGTGGTGCCAGCAGTCCCAGGGTACAGAGTGAGGCTGGGGGGACACAGGCCCCCATCATAGCACCCTCGCTTCTCCATCCCAGATACCATCCCCTCGAGTCATGGTCCAGCTGGGTAAGTGTGGAGTGGGCTGGGGCTTGGAGGGGTCCCAGCACTGGTCGCCTGTGCACTGACCCTGTCCTCCTTCCCAGCCCTGCACCTCCTCGTCCTGGTCCCCATCCTCTTCAGCCTGGCAGCCTCTCTGGCCTGGAAGGCAGCCTCGGGCCGGGACCCCTTCGAGAAATGCATGCGCGACCCTGACTATGAGCAGCTGCTCAAGGTGGTAATCCTGGGCCTCAACCGCACCACACAGCCCCAGAAGGTGATTGTGGTCGGCGCTGGCGTGGCTGGGCTGGTGGCGGCCAAGGTGCTCAGTGATGCTGGACACAAGGTGAGAAGCACTGCGCAGCTACCCCAGCCCTCTGCTGCAGGCCAGAGCCCGAGCGAGGGGGAGGGGTGGGCGCTGTCCTTCCCAAAAGCTCTGCTCCGACGGGTCTGTGCCTTGAGCCCTGCCATCCTGGGTCCCAGAGGGACATCCCACTGACACATCACTAACTGGCAGGTGGGGGGGCTTGTGGTGGAGCAGGAAGTGACCCCACCATGGGGAAGTGTCCCCTGAGGTCCAACCACTACTCCACCCCACTAAATCCAAGAATGAGAATGACCCGCTTTGCGTATGAGAAATCCCCCCCCCACCTTTCCCTGATCTGGAAAGTCCCTCTACAATCCAGCTGGGGGGCCTTCCTGTTCGTCTGAAAGTGCGTGCTCTGTTTTCCCTCCAACTCCCATCTGCCACCCCAAGACGGGGGTCCTGGTCTAGGTCTGTGTTGCTAAGGCACAGAGGGAGGCAAGGGCGAGAGGAGCTGAAGGGTCTGCTTCCCCCATCCTTCAGGTCACCATCCTGGAGGCAGATAACAGAATCGGGGGCCGCATCCTCACCTTCCGGGACCCCAAGACTGGCTGGTCTGGGGAGCTGGGAGCCATGCGCATGCCCAGCTCCCACAGGTGAGACCTGACCTGACCATGTGTAGCCCCACCTGGGTGCGCACATAGAACCCCAACTCATCCCCCTCCAGACTCCAGCATCTCTCCATGGTTCTTTTGTGGTGCTGCAGATCAGAGGCCTTGTACTGCACACTGAATGATACCCCGGCCCTACTCTAGGGCCTGACCCCAAGAGAGACCCCTGACTCCCACCTCAGCCTATACCCACGCTGGGTCCTATTCCCAGCAGGGCCCCAGCTCTGGGCCTTCCCCATCCCTAGACTCCACCATCCTCAGCCCTGTCCCCACACCTGCAGGGTCTGGATACCCTCACTTCAGTGAAATTAACCTGGGCTCTTAATCCAGTCCCAATCCCTGGCTACCCCAGCCCCTGGCCTTGTCCCCTTTCATTCCTGTCCCCAGCACCAGTGAGCTTGAACCTAGCCCCTGCCTCATGCCATCCCATGCCCCTTCTCCAAGCCCCCCCCCCAACAGAGTTCCCAGCCCTCACCTGACCTCCCACACCCTCAGGATCCTGCATGCACTCTGCAAGAGCCTGGGACTCAACCTGACCACATTCACCCAGTATGACGAGAACACGTGGACGGAGGTGAATGGTGTGAAGCTTCGGAACTATGTGGTGGAGAAGATGCCTGAGAAGCTGGGTTACAGACTGCGCCCCGGGGAGAGGGGCCACTCCCCAGAAGACATCTACCAGATGGCTCTCAGCAGGGTAGGTGCTGCCGTGACCCCTGGCACTGCCAGCTGCTCTCCTGCCGCCAGCTGTCAGTCTCCAATTTCCCTGTGAGCGGAGCCGACCACACCAGCTTCCGTGGCTTCCCCTTCTCCCTTGCTCTGTCCTGGACGACCTCACCTTTGACACCACGGACTCTGACATGGTGCAGCTACCTAAAGCACCCTAAGTCCTCTGCTGAGCTGGGCACCTGCCCATAAACCCACTGGATTGCCAGCGCCCCCCCCCCGCAGCACCACCAGCCAGCCAGCAGGGGGCAGACCTCAGGGGCCTCTTCATGCCTGTCTGCCCTGCAGCCAGTTCCCACCTCCCTGTCCAGGCCCAGCTGGGCCCCCAGCCTTCCTGGCCTGGCACCAGAAGAGCATTCCACACACAGCTGACCCTGCAGGTCCACAGTGCCTCGGGGCCAGTCCCCAGCCCTCAGGCTCTACAGCCCAGGATAGTCTTGCATCCTCCACTCTACCTCAGCTGCTTCTTTCTCAAATTTACACTCCCTGGAAGTCCTCCCAGTGCACCACGTGCACTATGGGGTTGTTTTGGTTTTTGAGACAGGTTTCTCTGTGTACTTTAGGCTGGTCATGATGTCATGAAGTAGCCCAGACTGGCCTCAAACTCAGCCTCCCAAGTGCTGGGATTCCAGATGTGCACCACCATGCTCACCTAGCACACTGCACTTCTGGATGCCCACTTTGTCACCTGTCGTCCCTTGCTGTGCCCTCAACATGTCCTTGCCCTAGTGCCTGCCTTCCCCATCCAGAGAGGTCCCACTGCTCCCTGAAGCAGCTCCTGGGGCCTCTCCTGATGCCTGAGAGGAGCTGGCCACACCATCCTGACAGCCCCTCACTCTCGTCCTTGTCCCCTCCTGGACTCTCCAAGTTGCTGGTCCCTGAGACTGACAGTACGGGGGAGCAGGCAGGGAAACTGGAGCGGAGCAGGTGGCAGGGAGGGTGCACATTCTCCAGCCAGGCCCCCTGTAGGAGGGAGCTGGGCCAAAACGGGACAGGGCTGCTGGGGGAGCTGAGGCCTGAGTCACTGCTGTGGCAGGAAAGGGGAGGCAGGCGACCCCTGGGGGCTGAGATAATGTCATTTGTCACTAGAGCTGCTGTGAGAGCATGAGCCAGGGGCTGGCAGGGCCTGCAGCGCTCCTCTGAGGGGCTAGATCTCTAGCTGTAGGTACCCGGAAGCCAGAGAGGGCTGTGGGCAGAAGGGATTCAGCTGCTGTCTGCATCCATGTGAGCTAAACCCAAATATTTACTGAGTCCCAGGACACAGCACGACTGAGACAGATACAGTTCTGCCTTCTCAGAGCTTACAGGCCACCACACGGAGGAATGGAGTCTTCCCCACCCTGGGGGTGCTGAGGCAGGAAGATTGCTGCAGGTTCCTCTGTGTCTGTGTCTGTCTCTGTCTCTGTCTCTGTCTCTGTCTCTCTCTCTCTCTCTCTCTCTCTCTCTCACACACACACACACACACACACACACACACACACGAAGCAAGGATGACATGGTAGCAGGCCGTACTGAGTGATGGAGTCAGTTCTTTGACAAAATGTCCCCAAGTGGTGACATCTGATTTGCAGCAGAGGGCAAGTCTAAGGGCACAGACAGCATGGGCAAAGGCCTGGGGCTGGAAAGAAAGTGGTAAACGGCTGACCATGGGCAGAAGCAGAAAGGGCACCAAGGCTTTGGCAGCCAGCAACCCAGTACCATCTGCTTGGTCCACGACAGGCCCTAAAAGATGTCAAGGCACTGGGCTGCAGAAAGGCACTGAGGAAGTTTGAGAAGCACACACTCCTGGTGAGTGGGGCCTCAGCGTGACGCTGAGAAACAGAACCCCTGCCCCCAGAGCGGTCAGGTGCTGGCCCGCCAACCCTGTCCCGCTCACGGGAGAGGCCCCGTGTCCACCCTCTCTGGACCTGTTTCCCTCTTTGGTCAAGAGAGGCTGAAGCCGGTTGCAAGTTCTAGGGCACAGAACCCTGAGCTGGGGAAGCGGGCCCACCGGAGTGCGGGTCTGCGCTGCAGGCTGCAGCCCGGCTGGGCCCTGACGGGGCGGCACTCACCCCACCCCGCAGGAGTACCTCGTCGGGGAGGGCAACCTCAGCCGGCCGGCTGTCCAGCTTCTAGGAGACGTGATGTCCAAGGATGGCTTCTTCTATCTCAGCTTCGAAGAGGCCCTGCGCGCTCACAGTTGCCTCAGCGACCAGCTCCAGTGAGGGCCGGGGAGGCGGGGGGACTAAAGGCTGGGAGAGGCCGGGCCCTTGCAAGGCCCGGGAGAGAAAGGGGCCGGGAGGGCGTGCCTTGGGAGGAGGCGGAGCCGCTGGACCCGGATCAAGCTCGCTGTCCCCAACAGGTATAGCCGCATCGTGGGCGGCTGGGACCTGCTACCGCGCGCCTTGCTGAGCTCGCTGTCCGGGCCCTTGCTGCTGAACGCGCAGGTCGTGGCGCTGACCCAGGGCGCACACGACGTGCGGGTGCACATCAAGACCTCCAGCGGGCCGCAGAGCCTGAAGGCGCTGACCGCCGACGTGGTGCTGCTGACGGCCAGCGGCCCGGCGCTGCAGCGCATAACCTTCTCGCCGCCGCTGACGCGTAAGCGGCAGGAGGCGGTGCGCAGGCTGCACTATGTGCCAGCCACCAAGGTGTTCTTGAGTTTCCGCCGTCCCTTCTGGCACGAGGAACACATCAAAGGTGGCCACTCGAACACAGACCGCCCGTCGCGTGCTATTTTCTACCCGCCGCAGGGTGAGGGCGCGCTGCTGCTGGCCTCATACACGTGGTCGGATGCCGCCTCCGCGTTTGCTGGCCTGAGAGTCGAGGAGGCGCTGCGCGTGGCTCTGAGCGACGTGGCGGCACTGCACGGGCAGCTCGTGTACCGGCTCTGGGATGGCACCGGCGTCGTCAAGCGCTGGGCCGAGGACCCACACAGCCAGGGTGGCTTTGTGGTGCAGCCGCCCGTACTCTGGCAAGCCGACGAGGGCACGGAGCAGCCTTATGACTGGGCCGCCCCCTACGGCCGCATCTACTTCGCGGGCGAGCACACCGCCTACCCACACGGCTGGGTGGAGACCGCCGTCAAGTCCGCGCTGCGGGCTGCCCTGAGGATCAACAGCCCCGAGGAGCCCGCGAGCACCGCCCCCGAGGAGCTGCCGGCTGTGCACTTGGCTGGCTGCGCTCTGTGCAAAGAGGCGGAGCAAAGGGCCGCCCCAGCCCAGCGCCTCCCACAGTCCATTCAGGGAACCCAGCATTAAAATATTTTTCAGAAAACTGTGTGGCCCAGCTGCCTCCCTAGGTGTTGCTTCCGCAGTTTGCAGGGCCAGAGCCCTCAACCCTCCGTCCCCCAGGGGACCCCAGATTCTTCCAGGTCAGACTCTGTGGCACTGGGGACACAAGAGGGAAAGAGCACTGCACCAAGGGGCTGGTGTGCCAAGGAACCGGCGTTCTTCCCGCACAAAGGCAGGAACAGAAAACCCCACGGTCAGCGGAGTTAAACTAGTTTATTCCTCTGGAAAGCAGCCTCAGGGTGTGCAGCTCCATGGGTGCCGCCCGGCAGTGGTGTCCTGCGTCACCCCTCTGCTCAGCCGCACGCCCATCACACCCTCAAGAGGCCTCCTCATAGGCCTCACTGGCCAGTACAGGCCCATGTGGTCAGGCCCAGGACCAGAAGGTACTCCGGGCAGCACCTCCTCCCCGGGAGCCTTCTCTCCCCACAGTCACCACCCACGGGGACGTGTCAGTTCCGTGAAGCCAGCTCCTCAGGAGCGCAGCGGCCACTAAAGTGCAGGTGCGCCGAGGGCCGGGCCGGCCAGGCTACGAGTCAGCAACATCCTCCTCCTCAGGCAGGATCTCCAGACTGCTGTCCGGCTGCGGCACCATGTCCGCAGCGGGCGGCGGGGCCGGCGAGGCGCGCGTGGGCGACAGCGGCAGCGGGGAGACCACAGGCGAGGGGCTGTGGGGCTCGGCAGGCGGCGCCAGGCCCAGGACTTCCTGCACGTTGTGGGGTAGCTCCTGGAGACAGGAGGGGGGTCAGAGACGCCAGGAGGGCGGGGGCTGGCTGCAGGAAGAGGCCGGGACTTACAGAGCAGGCGGTGAGCTGCCGGTACAGTGCCTCAGCGCGCGTCAGCACATCCTCTACGCTCAGCTTCATGGTCAGCTCGTTGATGTGCTGCCAGGAGGCACGGCAGGTCGGCCATGGGTAGGTCTGGGGACACGGGGTCGTCCCACCCTCGCTGTGTTCACAGCGACCAGCACCGGCTAGCAAGAGGCACGGTGGCACGGACAGGGCGGCACCACCCTCCAGGGACTCCACGACCTGTGTGGGGGTGGGAAGGAGCTCACCTTAAGGATCTCGTTGGAGCCGAAGCCTGAGAGCATAAGCGTGTCCCGCTCCATGTCCAGGATGGCGCAAGCCACCAGCAGGTGCAAATTAGGGCCAGGAAGCCCCGTCCACAGCACCTGGAGGTAGGGTGGGGTTCAGAAGGAATCTGTTGATAGTGCCCCCAGATCTGTCCCTTCCAGCCTGCAGCCCCAACCCCTTCCGCACTCCCCCAACTGGTGCCCACCTCCCACAGTCGGAGGATGTCCGGGAAGGGGAACTCCCTCTTGAACCAGATGAGCAGCCACCGGAAGCAGAAGCAGAGCGAGCCAGAGTCCTGGGAATCTGGGGAAAGCAGCGGGCCATTCAGCGCTTGGGCCTGCTGCGGGCACCCCTGTTCTCAGTCTCTGGGAAGTGACCCGCCCGGTACAGGCAGCCCAAAAGCCCAGGATGGAAGCTTCCGAGGGTGCACGGTGCCCTCGCCCGGTCCTGCCTGCCACACTGCACCGCACGTGTGCAACCTCCCCACCTCCTGCTCTGACGCACAAGGGTACAGGACCAAACCAGGGACACAGGACCCGTCCCAGTGCTGTTGGGGATCAAGAACTCTGAACCCCTGGGTACACTGCTAGCCCCACTGTCAGCTGCCAAGATAACCTTAGACAAAAGAATTCAAAAGCTGTGAAAATGAGTTCTGCCCGAACACAATCCCTTCCTTGAAAATCATCTTTAAAACACGCATCATAATGCAAAACGCACTGCAGGTCCAGCAGGTCAGGGTAAGTGGGTGTGTTCTCTGGGACTGAGTCCCTGCTCCCAGAAGTTGCATTTCAGAAGAGTTGATGACAGGCAGCTCTCCAACAGTGGCCCAGGAGTGGCCTGTGCTTTTCTAAGGCTCAGCTGCTTTTCAGTGAGGAGAGGCCAGGTATTTGTCAACTCTCTCCCTAGTGCTCTCCTAGAGTTTCCTCATAAGTGGCCTTCTTGTCAAAGCCTTATACTTTTGTTTCTTCTT